AGCTTCCTTCTATACCTCTAATAAAGGCTCTGGAGAAAGTTGAGCCTGAATTTACAGAACATCCACCCACCTACTACATACCTGCTTACTAGATTCCCATTTCGGTTCCTCAGCCTAGGCTGTAAGGGCCTGCTCGCAACGATACACAGAATGCAGATGTTATTATCTCAGATTAAGAAAGCACACCATTTGTGTGCTTAGATTGTAATTTATCTCACTGCTCTCCAGGCAGAAAAGCTAACAGGATCTGAGGGCATTCAGTTTGCAACACAAGAAACCCTTAAGGAATAATTCATCTCTGTCATTTTCCTCCAGGCTTGAAGCGACCTGCTATACACCCATTCTATTTGTATACCGCAGCACGTGTGTTAAATCACATGGTAGATGGGCAGCCCCCACGGTAACTAGATGATTCTTTCACATTACAAAGATAAAGGATCACATTTATCTCTGTTGGAAGTTGAATAAACACGTACCAAAGTTTTCCGCTGGTCGCACTTTACTGTATTTTGTAAATCATCTGCATCTATACAGGCTCTTTTCAAGTTTCCCATACTGATACAACAAAAGGATTTTTATGGCCACCTGTCAAAACGATAGGAATAGAGAGCCAGGCAGGTCTTTAACGCCATGGTTACTGGAGCATCGATGGGTGTGGTGGGAGAAATCAGCTACAAACCACACCTCGTTCTCATTAACAGCCTGAAAAGCAAAACGGGTGCAGTGCCCTGATAACAACCCATCCAGCCCAGCTCTGTTCTGCCTGATACATGTTATGTATTATTGAATGTAATATTGAATGTAATTCTCAATTGTTGATTTATTTTGGTGGCTGTAATGGTTGCCTGCGGCAGAACAAAGCCATTCTACTGCAATATGCCCTCAACATTTCACCCCACCCTCCCGAACTCTGTTAAAACAGAAGCGATGAAATCTTTGTGCTTTATGCTTGTTACTGCTGTAGACTGCAGTTCCCAGTGGTGCACACGACACGCGTGCACTGCTGTAAACTGGGTTTGATAACGATGCCCACGATCCACAAACGCGTACAGAAGCGCAGCAGTGAGCAGAGCAGATGCAAAGTCTCCAGCGACAAAGGGGAGCTCCTGCACAGGCCATCTGCACACTGTTCCATTCGCATGCTGTGTGGCTTCAGCTTCCCTGTCGGTGCCACTCCAATAACAGACTGCCTCAATAGCGATGTGACATACAAGATCTTCTCTCGTCAGACACAGATGTTCAAGCTTAGCCCTTGTTTGCTGGTTTTTGGTCAAAGAGCAGTTGTTAGGTAAGCAATGTAGATAATTTTGCTGCACTAGCCTTGCATGCATCTTAGCATTGCAGTAAACATGCTTAGTGAGACAAGAGCTGTGCTTTTGATAATTTTTTTGAGAGACTTTTGATTTAAGATGACTGTCTGGGCTCAATTCTTTTCCAGGGGGAGGGGAATGCGTGGGTGCCATATTTTCTGATGGCAAATAATTCCAGAAACGAGGGATGCAGCTAAAAGAAAAACACCTGAATCCATTTCACGGCCGAAGCAATGGCACTGGGAAGTGCCACCGCGGCAGCTTGGGGAGAGCTTGCCTCATGTTCCTAAGCCAGTCTCCTGACCGCACCCAGTGACTCAGGCTCAGCATCCATTATGCACCACATGAAACTCAACCTTCGGGCGCATACCCTTGCCAGCAACCCGCATCTGTGGAATCAGAAAGCGATCACCTGATGCTCAATCTCATTTCGCTCATTAGTCCTTGCCTGCGGCTTGTGTACACAGAATTAAAAGTTCACGCATCCTGCCTCTTCTGAATGCTCTGAGTCATCTGTAAGAGCTTTGGTATCGCAAGGGTGCGACCGAGGTGGTGGAGCGCTTTGCAGCGGGAAAAGAGTCGTAGTAGAAAAGGATATTATGATGTGCTGTAAGTCCTGCAGGAGTTCGTGCTGGAGTCACTTTGTTTAAGTAGAGCTTGGTGTGTTGGGGATTACTGCGACACGCATGACTGAAAGCCTTTCTGGAAAACTAGAAGTGCATTCTTTGTTGAGGCTTCCTGAATTATAGTGTTACACAATACTAACAACTTTATACTCAATACTCTGACGCAGCTTTGCATTAACTTCTTTAATAAACTTCAGCATCACTTATCCCCCTATTTAAACCAAATAAAAAAGACAGCCCATTGAATCAACTGCTGGATACACATTAGCTGTGCGAGAACCCACAGCCACTTCCGTACGCCCAGAGGCTGTTGCAATCTGGAGAGCTGACTGTGATTTCACTAGGTGCAAAGGTGGCCCACACTACAGGGTTTGTCACTCTCTTGTCGTGCACCCTCTTCTCTGCCTACACGGTCAGCAAGCCACGCCGCAGGGCAGGAGCACCCCACGCTCGCGACTCCCCGGCGGCGGCAGCATCTCTGACCAGCCCAGCTGTGAACCGCATTGCAGGGCTAGCACAGGAGGGAGGCACCTCGGGCTCTGGCACGGGTGGTGGACACAGAACCTGCGTGGCTCGGAGAGGAGGGACGAGCTGGCCACAGTGCCCGATGACACTGTCTGCTCCAGGCAGGTGCCTCTGAACGAGAATTATTTGTTTTCTCCTGGGGCAGCAGCAAGTGACTCGCCAGATGTGGTGGTTGTGCCCAGACATCTGGAATCCTCCTTGGACAGTCAGTGATGAGGTAACACAAACCTGAAAAAAAGTCAGGGATCCCCTTCATCCACCCTAGTCTTTGGGTTTTTTCCTCCCTTTTCCTGATGTTCTGGAAAGACCCTTAAGCTTTTATACAAGTATTAATTTCTCCTAGCATCCAAAACACTCGGGTTGTGTCACATAACGCTCTAGACCAAGCTGCTGGGACAGGGCTCTGTGAAGGAAGGAGCCATTCAGGTCTGTGATTAACTCTTCATGTGGCACCGAGTGAGAAAAGCCAGCATGAACAACATGCTAATCATTCTAGGTTTAATCAATATACCTGGCCTCCACCTTCTCTGCTTATTTAAAAAGTCAGTTCTCTGAGCTAATCAGCATCTGGCCTTTACTTTTCCTGCCTGTGAAAGACTGAGTTTTCCCCAAAGGGCTGAGCATCCCGCAGTGCGCAACAAGAACCGAATCAGTCCCAAGGCAAAGCACTACCCAGCGCATGACAGGGTAGGAATTGGCAGTATACCAACGAACCAAAACAAAAAAATAAAAGGAGAAAGCACTTAATATTCACCTTGATCCTTATTTGATCCTCATGCAGAGACTGAGGTTTTAAGAAGTCTTTTAGAAAACTTCACTGAAAAGGTTTAGAATTTCATGAGCAGACTCCGTACCCTACAGCTGTGTATAAACGAAAACCAGGTCACAATATGGAGATGTACGACATGACTGAACAGAGATGTGAGGAATTAAGTATAAAAATTTGGAATGACCCTTTCTGACACCACTCAAATCAGGCAGCAGGCGGAGCAGCGGTGATGCTGCAATCCGACACCCAGCTGTGACGTTTCGCAGGCTGGTGTTTCAGTTACTGTGGTTCGTTTAGCTGTTTATAGGGATGCTGTTCACCTTTTTTTTTCTTCTGAGTCAGGTTCAAGTTCAAATGTGAACTGTTATATAGGTTCATTTACAGCCTGCCAATAGCTGAGTATTTAAAATTTCAGGATGAAGACATTACCAGATCTGCTACACATAAAATTTGTATTTAATTTCTAATGTACAAATATATATCCATAGCTATTGTCAACAGAACTATTTTAAATGTAGTAGCTACGTACAGCTGTGGATGTCGCAGCAAGACAACAGGAAGAGCCTGCATGTAAACTTCCCTATTAAAAAAAAAAAAACCTCCATCCCACATCTAGTAAACATCAAAAGCTGCGTGAGGTGCAGTAATCAGCAGTGAGGTGATCAGTCTTGGGAACCTAAGGCTTCATAGATTTTTATATTATCCGGAATATCTGAGCACCCAGCCATATAACTGCATGCGCTAGACAGTGGAGAGAGCAGGTTTGAGGGTGACCTTGACAGGGGGGGTTCTGAAGCAGCACATTAGCTGTCAGCAAGGACTCTAGCAGGACATCAGATCCTACCCTTCAGGCAAAAATTAATGTGGGTGTCCCTCGTAAAACAAGATTAATGTGTGCACTGGGGATGAAATAGGTTGGTGAATAAGGGAAAGATTTCAGGATAAAACAGTATGTAAGTGGGGAAACAGATGCATCCTGCAACCCCCACTTACTAACGCTGCCGACTCCTCTCGAGGACCTCCTCAGCGTGTCTCCTGCAGCGTGGAGGGGAGGCGGAGACCAGCAGTGCTCAGATGCTTGGAGAGCGAGTGGCTCATCCTGTGAACACTCAGTGAACAGTCAGAACAGAAACCTTCCACCTGGGCATCTGCTCCTTCACCGTGCACTAGTTCTGCCTCCTCTGAAGCAGTGGCCATTTCTATGTCTAATTCACAGTTGGGAAAACTGAGGCACGGGGAGGATGTGGCACCCCAGGCTTACCCAGCCACTCGGTGACAGAGCTGAGGATGTTATCCAGACCTCCTGCCATTAACTCCCAAGCTTTAGCCACAATATAATTTCCCCAGACTTTCTCAGAGACAGTCTACGCGGCAGTTCATGCTCAAATGGAGATTGAAAACAGCTCTCTTACCTACGTACATCACCCCTTCTTTAGTCTTCTCTGCAGCCTCTGTCACTCCCTGCTTGGTCTTTTCTGCAGCAGCCACCACACCTTCTTTAGCAATGGAGAAACCTTTCTTAAAGACATCCATTCTTGCCGATTGCTAGGGTATCACCTGGACAACCGGAGTGAGGGACAGCAGCAAAAAGCACCTCAAGACCACAACTGCAAGATGCAGCCCCAGCCTTGGCGGATTCCTGGTTTCCCTGCCGGTCTCTGCCTTTGCTCTTACTCCTCCGCTGGATGAAGGCAGTGTGGCAAACCTCACAGCCTTCGCCGGCTCTTATTGATGAAGCGTGCTGCAGTGTAGCCAATGCCTGTGAACAGCTGATACTGAAATATTAATGATATGGATCTGCTTGGGAAGATTTAAGAAGGGAGGGGGAGAGGAGGAGGACGACTTCGGTAGGTAAGAGACTGCCTGGAAAATTTCCAGACAGAAAAAGCTTTTAAAATATGCTGCAATGCTCTCACTCGAGGATGCTCTCATGTGAAGAGCGAGACTTTTTATCTGAAGAGCTGAGTTCCTGAAAGGGCATCTCCCCACAGCTGCAGCCAGAGGCAAACACAAGCACTCCTGGGTGGGTTCCCAGAGGCTGGAGAGCACATAAAGCTGGTGGTGTTTGTAGCAGACAAACAGGGTCGGGTTTCTTGGGCTGGCAGTTATCAGAACCCATCCTGCACAAAACCATAACAACAACAGTATTTCTAGTAAACATTGCGAGAAAAAGGGAAGCAGCTAGAGCTTGGTGCTCAAGTGAAGGGAGCTGGAGGTCCCCCTTGCCCTGTTGGCCAAGTACGAAGTTGGTTCCTCAAGGCATTTAGTAGAAGTGATGGTTTTTGCTCAGCTGCACATCCTGTTACAACGGCTCATTTCTGAAAAATCAGATGCGTGTTGGGGGAAATCCTGTTTCCTATTTGTTTCTCCGAGTTGCTGGAGACAGAGCTCTGCTCCGCCGCTGCAGAGCGAGACGACGTTTGACACCGACGCCGTGGCTCACGTCGGAGGTCTGTGCTGCAGAGCACAGCGGGGCGAGGAAACCATCCAGCAGAGAACTGCTCCGGGGGATCTTGGTTTGCATCGAGGATCCAGCCAGCCTCCAAGGCCTCACTAGGAAAAAATACCACAACATATGATCAGTAATCACAGCTGGATACCCTCATGTGCTGAAAGTTAAACTCAAGCTAAATTGTTTTGTGAAGTAGATCCCAGCGGCCCAAATCAGCTGCTGTCCCACTAGCAAACTGATTTTCAGTGCAAGGACCTGTGAAAGCGATTGCTGGTGCAAGAAGGTGAATATTTTTTATTTTTTTTAATAGTACCATATCTGAAATTACAGAAGCCATGGAGCACCAGCCTCTGAGCACAAACCCTGACCAGCTTGGGCTGCTTTTCCTTACCAGGCAAAGAGGATACGAAATTCAGAGGTTTGACTGCGTTGTGGGAGGGTAGCACACTGCAGCCTCATGAAGCGTAGTGGTCTGTAAGCCACTGCTGCCACAAGTTATCAGCCAGGAAGTGTCAGATGGGGAATGACTATACAGAAAAGAAAAAGGTCTGAATAAAAAAGGAAATGTCTGTATGCACATGCAGACATGTACACAGACACAGTTCTTACTGTGGAACTAAGAATATTTCTTTAGGTTTTGGGAGTGGTTTTTTTACTCCATATCTAAACAATTGAAAACCTGTTGATCTGGAAAATACACATAGATTTCTTAACCTTTTTCTCACACATAATTCTCCTTACCTATAAATCAAGAACAAATTTCCATTTGAATGTAGACGAGTCAAATCTCTGACAAACACATTTATCAATTGTTAATTAAAAAAAGTGTGAGATTCAAAGGAAGGCCATCACAACACACCAATTACTGTAAGAGCTCTCTTTGTTCTAGACTGCTGCAAGCAAGGAGTAAAAGAAGGTTTTTCTTACCATCTTTCCAAATTTCCTTTAGGTGGCTGGTTGACCACTATCCAGAGTGCACAGCTTGTGCTCGTTTCTGCTCCCAGAGTGTTCATAAATTGAAGATACGTGCATCTTATTGTGCCATACAACCAGTGGTTTAACCTACCTGCTCTTGGAGTCAGTCACAAGGCTCCCATTGATTTCATCAGGCACAGAGCAAGAGTCTTGTTATTACTACATTTGATAAAAAGTGAATTTACCATCTTTGGAAATAGCTGCTGGGCCCATTTACTTTTCACTAGGCTTTCAAAGCCCATTAAAGCAGAGCACAGAGCTTCCCAGGGTTACGGGTTTTACTGGTATTTTCAGGAGAACGCCCAGACTGATAAGGCTGAGCTAGAAGAGTATTTTGATTTTGTTAAGCTATTGTTCAGTCATTGTGATTTGTACAATTGTATTCTACACATTTTGCATTGCTATAAAAGGTAACACATGAAATATCAAGCCACCCTGCGATGTGAAACATGACTCATCACCGGATTGAATTAGCCGGTACTCAAGTGGGATACTCCTTTCCTGCCTTGTCCTCTCCCAATGACCTTCAGAAAGAGCTCACAAGAGGCATTTAAATGCTGCTGGATCCCTCCCAGGGCAGCAGGCCGTTTGCACAGGCATTGTTTTACCTTGAAACCCTTTTCAGGAAAGCTCTGGACTCAAGATTGTAGGTGATCTATATGAGCAGGCATCAATAACGGCTCCTGAACGCTTGCCACCCTGTAGGAACTCTGGTACCCTATTTCTATTCTAAGCAGAGGATTCAGTCCTGATCTGTTGCCAAACCTGCCTCAGGCAAACCTAACAACAGGAGTTAATGTAAGCAGCCTTGGCTTTAAGATTTTGCTAGGATCTCAACTTTGTGCCTGATAAATTTTTCCCTCGTATTAGATAACAATCAGCAGCTAAAGAGAAGCTCCTCCAGTGAGCAGTTCAGAGAACCCAAGTTCCTGTCTCACCTGGCAGCAACCTCTTTTTCTCCGCTTTCTATCTTGGGACACTGGGGAGAAGTCAGTTAAGCTAGACATTAAGTTCCCATTTTTTTCTATTGAGTTTAACTCATGCCCCCTTGTAAAAAAATTCCTCTCTCACAAACGTTTAGCTGACCTGCATAATACCAAAAGAAAGCCTTGACCTGTGCAATGACAAGCCATCCAACTGCTCTTCATCTAACATCTGGATTCTGGCTGCTCAGGCTTGCCGATCGAGTCTCTTGCTGGGGAACATGGCAGTTTCTTGAGGGCCTCTGAAAGGTGCAGTTCCCCACCTCCCATGTGCCCAAACCTCCCTCGGGGTGCTGGTGGCCAGTGTCGGGAAGCAGGCCTGTGCAATGCCCGCTGGTAATCCCGTGGTATGGGCAAGGCAAATCCAAACCAGGTCTACCTGTTCCCACAGAACCGATGCAAGGGAAAGAAAAGAAGGCAAAGCAGAAATCAAGCTTCCCTGTCCTCTACTGACTTCTTTGTGTCTGCAACAGATTAAAACAGGATTTTACTTAATATGTGTCTCTTCCCTCTTTAATTTGCCCAGTTGCACGTTAGTCTGCACACAAAACCTTAACCTTGTCCTTAAATGATGAACTTCTGCTAGAGACTAACAGCTGACAAAGGCATCTTGCTGGGTGAAAGGAGGGGGATTTGGTCGTATTCTACTGAAGTATCTAAATGGTGCATGATGTCATTTGAAAGACAGGTAAGGAGAGGAAAGACAGAATGCTTTTGTGGCTGGTAAATATCCTTTGTTCAGGAAGGTATTTATGGCGAATAATATTAACATTAACAGGATCCAACCTTGCTCTATATAAACAGAAATCCTCGCCCTCTCTCTCCATTTACAAAAACTTCAAAATGCCGAACGGAGAACTGTTTCAGATCATTCATTTTCATGCCCTAACGAAAACAAACAGTTCTGTCTCACATCCTCTTGGCAAACAGCTTAGGACTTGAATCCCTGCGTGTACGCTTGCATAGTTAATGAGTAATTTCCTCCGCCGGGGAACGAACAGGGTGAAGGCTGACGGATGAGCCATTTTTAAGGCACACATACAGCAAGTGGAGCTCTGCCAGTGCAGCGCCCAGCAGTCTTTCGTGACTGCTTTCTGCCATTGAGGAACATTGACAGGTTTCGAACAAACTAATAAAAATATAGCTAACAAGAATTCATCTTCTTCCTCTGAAAAACAGACCACTGAAAGGAATCCTTCCTAGCCCAGCAGCCTGCCTCCCGACACGTCTCTGCCCGTGCTCTCCTTCCCCGGAGCCGCTGCACACACACGTGCGCACATCAGCAGCGGGCAGGGAATGAAACAGCATTTTCCAGATCTAAAAACCAGTGCCTAATGAGAACTTCTTCCTTTGCTGTGCAGCTAGCAAGAAAACAGCCCTCTTCATCTTCCCAGGCATAAAATCCTTTCAGCTATTAAATCTCCTTCAGCAATTTGGAGCTGGGATATATGAATCTAAAGCAACATGTGCTTATTAAAATAATTCCATCCAAACATTTTTACAAGGATTTTTTTTTTGTTCTTTTAAATACACATACTTTGAATTTAAGTCTATAATTAAGAGCATTATGGAGTAGGCAGTAAAGATACAAAAGAAATAAACAAAAAAAAAATCTGAATCTATTAATGGCATATTTAATTTCTAAGGGTTCTTCCTCCAGAGAGACACTGGCTGGAAGACCCAGCGCCTTTGCTTTCCAAGTACGTATTCACTGTTTATCAGGCGTATTGTTTGGAGCCGTTCACCGCGTGGTCACCCATCTCCCATCTGAATGTGGCTGCAGGGCTCTGACTCCAAACACACAGAAAGGGGCCGAGATGAGATTTTTACATCTTACGCAGATTATCCAGAGACGGTGCTGGTATTTGACAACTTGATTACGGAATGGCAAACGGGACATTGAATTCTCGGGGCAGGCAACATTGGAGGGGGTCAAGAGCCGTGTTTAATGGAAATGGTTGTAATTACCAGACAAGGCATAAGTAGTCCTGACAGTCGTCTGCAAGATCCCAGGGCATACTAATGAATCTGGCAATACCAGCTCTTTCCAGACTAGTTTGAATGGTTTGAAGGAGTATTTCTCAGAAATACTTTGGGGAAAAGTACTTTCATGAATAAGGGCA